CACTCACTCACTCACTCACTCACTCACTCACTCACTCACTCACTCACTCACTCACGCACTCACTCACTCACTCACTCACTCACTCACTCATCGTCGTATAGACCACAATATCACTCTCTTTAACCCAGCTTACGCATCCCTTACGTATTCTCTCATTCCAGCCCACACTCTTTTCCTGTCCCAATTTTTCTTACCCCGACATTTACGCCTTTTCAATGAGCATGCACCCCCTACGTCTCTCTATTTTTGCTAACGATAGCAAAAGGGATCCCCAATTGTAGAGAATTTCATTTTTTCTTCAAAAGCCTCAGCACTGCTGCACTTTGGCTACGTGGGTGAAGGTAGAATCAAATCTGGTTTTACTGCGGAACAGAAGTTTACTCATTCATTTAAGTGCAGAGAAGGTTAAAAAACGATTAAATTATTCTTTCCTAAAGTGAGTGCAGATGGAAACACGCAGAGCGTACGGAAGATAATTCCATTATCAGACATTCTGCCTACCTGAGAGAAATTATCTAGGACTGAACCAAAAAAAAAAAAGAAATGCTGTTTGAAGGTTATTTTGAAATGCGTCATGTTGCATCATTTATTTACCTCAGTGGGGTGTGGAGGAGATAGATTAATTCCCAGTTTTAATAGTTTGATATGTTTATATCAGCGACGAAAGGAAATATCTCCGAACGTCTGGTGGTTTAAGAGGAAGAGAAAGAGAGAGATCACTAGACAGATAGATGGATGGATAGACAGATACAGATAGATAGTTATATAGATTGACAGAGAAACAGAGACAGAGAGAGAGTGAGAGGGTGAGGGAGGGAGAGAAGAGAGAGAGAAGAGAGATAGATGGATAGAGAGAGAGACAGAGATATTGAGTCAAAGAGACAGACAGATACAGTGACAGAGAGAGAGAGAGCGAGAGAAGAGAGAGAGAGAGAGAGAGAGAGAGAAGGGGGGGGGCAGATTGGGGAAGGGGCAGATTGGGGAAGGGAAAGGGGAAAGGGAGGGAAAGAATGGGGGGAGAGAATGTTAGATGCTCATATTTATTCTATACCAAAGTCTACCACATGGCTGGCTG